AGAAAACAAAAGAAAAAAGTAACATGGTGAGGAAAATAAACTGAGATTGAACAAAGGAGATTGGGACTGTAAGCAAGTGGGAGAAAGGGATAAGTATAACAGAAGAGCAGGAAGGTTGGCATGAAGCCAAAGTAGAGAAAAGAGAAAGCTTGGATGAGAACCAGGGAGAGGAGGAGGGGCAGGAGCTGTCTGTCCAAGGAAATTAAGATTGGGATAAAACGCATAAAGAGAGGACATGTAGCCAGGCGAATGAATAGGACAATAAGGCAACAGAATAAAGACAAGAACAGAACAGACTGGAGGCAATGGGACAAATAAGGTTACGTGTGGGAGAAATTAAGTGTAAAGACTGTGTCTGCTTGTACACAGAGCTTGAGATGGAACTTGGGTTCTCCAAGTGTCACCACTACCCTTCTGCAGTCAGCATATTTAACCTACATAGCCCAGCAATATGCCTTCTAAACCTCTGGTGGAGTTCAAGCAAAGGAGGACAACCTAATACTCTTTTTCACCTATCTAAGCAAGTAACAGAGGTTACTTTAAAACTTTTCTACAGCTGAATTAAAGAATTCAGCCTTCTTTACCTCAAAACTGATAGCCTATATTTCTATTTATTTACACATCAGGAAATTATGGAAAAAAATAATTCAGAGGAAAATACTATATGATATTGTGATTAAAAAAACTTATAAATTATTTTCTTACAAGTTATACATTTAAACTACAGAGAGGATCATAAATCTGACACTTCTGAAAGTTTGTGCCTGAACAGTCTTATTAGTCCTTGGTCTTATTAGTCTTATAAGTCCTTGGTCTTTTTAGTCTTATTAGTCCTTGGTCTGCATACGAAACTTGAACTTGTAAATCTATTTTTTTATCATTTGGTATTGTGTGAATCTAGCTTTTCTTACCTTAGTGTTCTGTATCCACAATTAGCATTTGAATCATTTATACAAACTTTCTAAATATCTTGGGAGTGAAAGAAAGGTATCAGAGGCAGAAATCCCAAAGTGGTCTCTCTGCTTGAGGAAAATGAGTGTAATTTGACCTGAAGGAAAATGCTGCTCTTCTACCTGAGTACAATCACACATACCAAAGACGAACAAAAAGACAAGAAAAGAGGGTGAGATATGTCTGGATAAAACATTCTCTAGAGGATTTTCTGACCATAGATGAAAGATTCAACTGCTTGACAGGGTAAATATGTATTCCCTGAGTGACTAGAGTATATTCTTTTTTGAAATACTGAACAAGCACACCCTTCTTTAGGCTCTGCTCATTGAAAACATTTGTAGAATGCATTTGCAGAAGTCCAGAAAACGCATTCAAAGGAACAGCTATGGCAATGGCCAAACTTGAACAAGATTAAATATAATTTCCTACAATTAGTTCAGATACCCCACCTGTGCTGAAATATATTCTAATGATGGATGTGGATTTTTTTCTGTTTCCAGATCAACACACACTTAAAGAAAATGAAACTACAGTTCACAGCTGAGTCAAATCACTAATGTGTTTTGATAATGATGAGCAAATTAGATCACATGGTAAGAAAGTGTACTCTCTCAGACTTCACCAGGAAGCACAGAGTCCTTTCTATGATCTGCAAGAAATGCTGTGTTTGGATGAACTGACTAGAAAGAGAGGTGTTATTCAGTCCAAGCAAATCAGCCAACCAAATGTGTGTTAAGGAAGAACATACATACAGAACAGCTATTTCACACATAAATTTTGAAAATTACACAGAATGTATACAACATGCTAAGAAACATGAGGTAGGCATCTGGGCTCTCTAAACAGTTTTTATTTATTTGAGGTATTTCCAACCTACTGATGAGAAGAAAACCTTGCTAGTGTGTAAGTAAGTCTTGGAGAGGTACAGTCAGCAGTTCAACAACTCTCTTATCCTTCTTTTTGACACCATGAAACTGTTAAACCTCAAAGCCAGAGGCTAAATCTGTTCGCTGAGGAAAAGAGTGCAATGCAGCAAGCCCTAAGTATCCCTTATAATCCACACTGCTTAACTGTCAGCTCTGTCCCTGACTCTGCTTTGAACGACTCCAACGAGCTCTCTACGAACAAGACTAATCTCCTTCAGAGAAAACTAGCTCTAAACAATATGAATATGACCGTCGCCTGGCTTAATCCCTAGCCTTCTTTTATTTAGCAATTTAACAGTTTAGGCATAGGCAGCATTCCCCGAGGATGAAATTTTGGGAGAGGTATTGTTTAAGCTACTGAGGAGTCAGCTCTGACCTGCGTGCCTCTGATAGCTGGTTTGAAAGGTGACATTTCTGTGATAAACAACAAAGAAACAGCTTGTGCCTCGGAATCGTGCCAAAGTACCCAAGGCAAATGTCAGAGCTGCAGCCTATTCCTGTCACGAGGAGGGTGAGTGTGTGCTCTCCTGATCACAGCAGCCTGGAAGATGCCCAGCAGGGACAGAGGCACCAGTGCCAGATTACTAACTGTTCAAGAAGCGATTGCTGTGCTAAATTCAAATTAGGGGGCCAAACCAAGAAAAACAAGTCATCCTTCTGCAGGTGGCAGCAGTGCCAGCACGGGTGGTGTGGTACTCATGAGATACCCAAGTGAGGATGTGTGCCCCGCACTGGTGTGCGCTGGCAGCAGCCACAAAAATACGCTCCTCATGTTGCATGCGAATGCGACTAGGGAGTTCAAACTGCCATCAGTAACAGTATTAAGAATGCATACATCCAAAAGGCCTTGTTAAATTTACATGGGCAACACTGTCACATTCGGATTTCTTGAGGCTAGTTTTGCTGCCCTCATAATCTTTTTTTTTTAAGAGGTTTTTGCATGCAGATTTGCATGTGTGTTGAAGGGGTTATTATATTCCATCATTTTACTAAGGAAAAATTATTAAGGTAAGCAAATGTCCTGGTTTGAGCTAAACAGAACCAATTCTGTTCAGCAACTCTGACCTTAATATCTGCTCTTCAAAGTGATATTCAATAATAGAACAAGGTGTAATTGGTGCAAGGTGGAGCATAGGAGGTTCCACAAAAACATTAGGAAAACCTTTTTCAATGTGAGGGTGACAGAGCACTGGCACAGGCTGCCCAGGGAGGTTGTGGAGTCTCCTTCTCCGGAAACATTCAAAACCTGCCTGGACATGTTAATGTGTGACCTACTGTAGGTGATTCTGCTGTGGCAGGGGGGTTGGTCTAGATGCTCTTTCAATGTCCCTTCCAACCTCTAACATTCTGTGATTCTGTGAATAATATCCGATTTCGATATAGTGTTAGGATCTCAATGTACATTAAAAATAAAAACTTTCTTTCCACCCTAATAGTTACAGGAAAGAGAATTGATATAATGTTAGAATCTCAATGTACATTAAAAATAAAAACTTGCTTTCCACCCTAATAGTTACAGGAAAGAGAATTACAACAATCCTAGAATTTCAGAATAACCTTGCTTAAAAAGATGCCTATTTTTTTAATGCCATTACCATTAGTATTAATGTTTGCAGCTGGTAGTATTTCAGTTAACAGTTTGTTGCACAGCCGATCCTCATTTTACAGAGACACTGTCCCTCATACAGTAGCCTCAGTTGCGTTCTTCTGTACTCAGTAGCCATATCCTGTACATAACCCCCAAACTCACTAGTAATATCCTATACTCCTATGCAACAAAGATGTTCTACTATGGATTTGCACACTCTGTCACTAATAGGACGATTCTATTATCATTCATCCATGCTCTTTTACAATACTTGGACTAACACCGTTCCAGCAAATTAATCAATTTATCCTCCTTTTCTTTAGAAATACATGTAAAGACAGATAAAAATTTATTTATTTTTTAACATCAGGTAATGCATGCTTTTCTTTAGAAATACATGCAAAGACAGATAAAGATTTATTTATTTTTTAACATCAGGTAATGCATACTGGTACTTAAAACTCTTAGTTATTCTCTGTTTAGAAACAATGCAACAACCTACTGGTATGTTTTGCTTTTGATAAGATTGGTATTATAAGTATTTAGCTTTACTCCCTCTGTAGAATTCACTCTGTGCAGCTTTACACTGTCTAAGAGCAAGGCATCACCCCCCTCACAATGACTGAGGAGACCCAACACACCCTCTGGGTAACTGACCCATCCTTTGGTCCGTTTGCTCCACAGTTTGGACTGGATTCCTCCCATAAAATTTTAAAATGTCCAAGTTAGACCTCTAACACATGTTAGTTGAAATTTATTGTCAAAGCAACACTGGGAAGCTTTATCTTGTGTCCACAGCAGAGCAGATCCAGCTCCTCCTGGTGGAGGACAAAGATAGGAAGGGACAAGTTTTCCAGGAGCTGCAGCAGAGACCTGATAGGAGAAAGGGCAGGAACATGAGAGGCTGAGCTAGGGTGCATCAGAGAGGTTTTTGTAAGGTACCTGTGGGTTAGTGGTGATTTGTGAGCCATGAGGTACATCACTGGGAGCTGTGGGGAGCTCTTCTGGAGTGGTCAGACTATAACAAAGGCTCACCGAGCATGTCTGGGAAGAGTAAGGATGAAGGAAAAGTGGAGAGGTAGGATATGCAGAGGGACAAGTCATATTTAGGCATGGCCTCCAAATCCCAAATCCAGAGCACACTTCCACAGCTCAGTGACTGGAAAAAATTTGAAAGTGACTACTGCCGTGTTAATTGAAATCTGGACATTCATTCACAGAACTAAACAACGAAAAACACTTAGCTACAAATAAGTGTTCAACATCAGAATATAGGAACTTGGCTCTCTTTCAAATGTCAGTGCAAACTTAATTTTTTCTGGAGAAAAACTGCTGTTGATGGTAGATTGATTTTAATAAGCTGTATTGGTTTGATAGCTTTACAATGTTCATTCTCAAATGATCTCTGTCATTTGAGATGCCTGTAACACAGGAATGTGTAAATTTTTCACACTAAACTCACAAACTATTTACTATTTCCACAGAAGACTACCACAAAGAAAAGAGAAGATTATGAAAAAATCATGCTTTACCTGTCCATACTTTGCAGCTAAATGTAGGGGTGTCCAGTATTGATTATCTGCTACATTCAGATCAGCCCCATGATCCAGTATCAGAGATGCAACGTTCTTGTACCCATTAGCGCAGGCCACATGCAGCTGCAATATAATAGTATCTTTATAGTTTAAAGAACTCAGAAAAATCTGTGACATGCTATTGCAAATCCTGTCTGCCCCACAGACCTAATGGCTAGGCCATCATGATGAAAAATACAAAAAACACATGTGATAACAACAGATTAGAAAACCACTACAGAATCTTTTTTAGCATTCATAAACAAAATAATTTCAAGCAAATATCCTTTCAAACACATTCACAAACTTCATGAGCCTGGGTAGATTCATACATTTCAAGAGAGCTTGGCCTAGACCTAACTTTCTTTTGTGGCAGTTCAAATTTCCCAGATGTAAGCTGACACTACTTTACTCCAAAATGAATTCATTGACACATAATCAAAACAAGCACATTGAGTTTGCAGCACAAAACCAGTCACAAAAAATACCTTCTAACTTTTGAACTACAGACTTGTTTTTCTTTTATTTCTGTTGCTTCCCTAGATCATTAAGTGGTACTTGGTTTAAAAATTTTGGTTGATTTTCTGTATCAATAAATGTCATTTCAGAGTCACAGTGGAACAGAGAGAGAGCAGAAAATGCAGTAACAGAATGACAGAAACTCAAGTCAGC